CATAAGCCTGCAGCCTTCTCTATTTATTATGCCTGCATGCATTATATATGCACACGTTTATGTAGAGGAAAACCACATGTGCACCCCCAGCCAGGAAGCAGCACCCTCCCCATTTTCTCCACCCTAACCTTGACAACAGCAGCATTTTGTGCTGTTGCTAACACATGGAAATGCCAGCAGGTGTACCTGGCTGGCTCCTTAAGAGGATACTCTTAGACGTCTGGCTCTGAACAGACATGGGAGCTTGGCTCTGCCACTAACTAGCCCTGTGTGACCCAGGGCAAGATACCTGGCTGCTTCTCTGAGCCTCAGTTTCCTCCTCTGTAAAATGAGAGTGATGACAGTATCTGAAAGGATTCAAAGAGCTCATGACACAAAGTCTTGCTCAACAAATAAAAGCTAATCTGTACACCAAGAACCATCTTAAGTGATTTATTGGTAGTCACTTGTCCAAACCTCACAACCAGCCTGTGAGGTAGGTATTACTATCCCCTTTTTTTTTGAAACGGAGTCTCGCACTATCACCCGCGCCGGAGTGCAGTGGCGCGATCTTGGCTCACTGCAATCTCCGCCTCCCGGGTTCACGCGGTTCTCCTGCCTCAGTCTCATGAGTAGCTGGGATTACAGGCGTGTGCCACCACACCCAGCTAATTTTTTGTATTTTTAGTAGAGACAGGGTTTCAATATGTTGGCCAGGCTGGCCTCAAACTCCTGACCTCGTGATCCTCCCGCCTCAGCCTCCCAAAATGCTGGGATTACAGGTGTGAGCCACCATGCCCGGCCTACTATCTCCATTTTTAAGAGGAGGAAACTGAAGAACAGAGAGATTAGGTGACTTGTCCAAGGTCACACAGCTAGGTTTCAAACCTAGGCAGATGGGCATCAGATCTGCACCCCTAGGCACCATTCCCAGGCCTCCCTTGCACATGTGGGTGTACACACACATGAGCTGCCACGAACTCATATTCTCTCCCTGTTCCTCCAGCCTCACCTGTTCTAGTTCCCCTTGCTGCCCTTCAGGTTGTTGTCACCAAATGAGAAGTAGGACTGCAAAATTTAAGCAGAACCTTCTAGACCCACAGCTGCCTCCTGTCCTTCTCAGACTACTGTGTCCCTACATGATACCTCCCTGCCCCCAGGTATGCAAGCCACACACTGGGTTGGGGGGACTCCTGTGTATTCCCCACCAGACATCTCTGAATAATAATTAGAGTGACAATAGTTCCCATTCATGGAGTAATTTTCTGGAACTCAGCTAGGCACCTTACATGCGTTTCATTCTCCCGACAACTTACAAAGTAGGATTATCATCTCTATTTTGCTAGGAATTAAAGATAGAATTGACTTGCCTGGGGGCAACGCAGACCTGGATCCAGATCCAGGGCTGAGCTGCTGCCTCTTGAGCTGCTGCTCAAATATAATGCACAATCTCACACACACAGGAACACCACTCACATATTGACACACACTGTCCAGCCACAACACAGACCAAACACACAACCCATGCGAGCACTACACGTGAGCTGCACAAGCTTCGCCCCCACCCCACCCCTCCACCCCTACATTTGCCAGGCCACAGTCCCTGCCACACACTGCTTCCTCCCACCCCTCACTGCTTCCCTCCCTCCCACTCACTCTCTAGCTCCCTGAGCTGGAACAAAAACACCTGGGCCCAGCCAGCCGCACTGACCCCCAGCCCCAAGTCTTTAGCTGGTTAATGGCGGGTGCCCGCTGCCCCCGCCCTATGGCCTTGGGAACAGCTGCCTCCACTTAGATTCCAGCCCCTCCCTTCCCCTCGAGGAAAGAACAAAAGAGAAAATAGGGAAAAGGAGAAGGAGGAAGAGGAGGAGGAGAAGCAGCAGCAGCATCGAGGGAGGAGAGAGGAGACAGCTGTGAGCCAAGAAGGGAGGAGAAACAACAAGAAGGCAGTTGGCATTCTCCCATCAACCCGGCCTCTCGCCCAGCCCTGACGAGGGATCAGGAGCCGAGGCCGTGTCATGTCTCTGGTCCTCTCCCGGCCTCTATCCTCCCACCTGTGTCTCCAAGGTTCCTTCCAGCTGAGCTGATGCTCAAGAGCCTCCTTCAACCTCCTTTGGACTCAGATATCTGACAGGGCCAGGCTAGGGCAAAGGGGACCTGAAGCTTCATGCATCGAGGCTTTGGCTGGTTCAACTTTGGATGGACTGTCAGTCAGGCTAAAAAAAACTGTGGGAGGGAATCCCTGATCTGGTTTCAACTTGCAGTTCTGTGACAGAGTCGCTGTGTACCCTTGAGCAGGGCATCGGCATCACTAGCTCATGTCACCTTTGTATAAATAAGAAACAGGCCCCCCTTTGATACTTCCTGGTCTAGGACACGTGGCTGGGCAAGCAGAAGGCTCGCTGGAATTCACCCCCGCTTCCCCACTTCGGCCTGGTATCTTTGTGCATGACACAACCTGCACAACCATACTTGGCAGCTCTAAGCTTGGCAAGTTTCCTCTCTGGACCTCAGTGTCTTCATCTGTAAAATGGAGACCACATCAGCCTCATAAGATGCCTGGCAGAAACCTCTTCTATCTCACTTGCCACTTTATCCCCCGAGTCTAGCACAGACCAGCACAGAGAAGGCACTCAATTAGTGTTTAGGGCATAAACGAATGAATGGAGGGATGGTCGGGGGAGAAGCAGGCTCCAAACTGTTAAGTGCATGGTAGGGAGGAATTATAATCATGGGTCTGAACCTCCCCACGTACTTTCACCCAGGCCAACAGGACTCAAGGTGACCAGGGGCAAGAAGAATATGGGTTTAGCAGCTTAGGAACAGGATCGAGCATTAAATTGGGGATTCGGGGGATTGGCTTATAATGCCCACTACACCCATAGGTACAGCCCTTTACAGTTTGCCATAGGCATTCACCTCCAGGACAGTAAACATGAAAAGCATAAGGGCTGTCCTGTATGCCCCACCCCTCCTCTAACACCACAATGTGAGGTGAGTAGGAGTCATCCCCTTTTTCAGGTGAGTAAACAGAAGCCAAAGAGTGACTTGCCCAAGGTCATACAGATAGAATCAGTGGCAGAGGATTCAAACCCAGCTCTGACTGCTTTCAGAGCCACGAAATTCCACTGGGTGTCAACAGCCCCATTTCAGAGATGGGGTAGTTGAGGCCCAGAGAGGTTTGGCAGTGCAGCCAAGGCCTCACTGAGGGGTCATCTCAGGGCTCTGGGCCCGCAGCAGGCAATGCTTCTGGGGTCCTCCCCTCCCCACTCTGGGAGACTACAAAAAAGCCCCTTTCCTCCTGCCTGTGGGAGGGGCCGTGTGGCTGCGCAGGGCCCCCTCCTTACCAGGCTGCTTTGTCCTGGCGCACAATGAGCTCTCGCTTGGCGTTCGAGGCCTTTGTCCGCGCGCAGCCTCGCGGCGCCCCCATCAGCGTTATCAGCATGGGGAAGCGGCGGCCGGAGCTGGCGGGGCCTCTTTGGGCCGCTGCTGCCCGAGACATGTGTTGGACACGGGCCTTTAAGGCCTGGAGCCGCCACACAAAGGCCAGGGAAGAAGGCGGAACAAAGGGCTTTTTCACGCGGCAACTGAAAAGCTGCAGATTAGCTCGCGCGTGCTGCGCAGGCGAGAGGAGCCGGCGGCCGTGTCCCCAGGCCCCCTCCCACGGCACTCGCCCAGCGCGTGTCCACGCCGCGGCCTCCCGAGAAGCCTCCTGATGCCACAACCGACCCCCTCTCCCCTGCTCAAAATTCCCCGTTGGCCCCTCAGTACGTGACAACTGCGTGCTGTACCGGTGTGTTCTGGTGCCGAACTCTTCCGGCTTCCCGGTTCGAGCCATTTTGCAGTGTTTGCCATTTCTGGGATAACGCTCAGCCGCAGCGCCTTTGCACCTTCTGTTTCCCCTGCCCAGAATGCCACCCCCACTCTCGGTCTCTGCCTTCAAGCTCAATTCTAGGGGCACCTCTTAGGGAAAGATAAGAATTGGCCGGGTGCAGTGGTTCACGCCTGTAACCCAACACTTTGGGAGGCCGAGGCGAGCGGATCACTTGACCTCAGGAGTTCGAGACCAGCGTGGGCAACATAGCGAAACCCTGTCTCTGAACAAAAAAAAAGAAAAAAATTAGCCATGCGTGGTGGCATGCATCTGCAGCCCCAGCTACTCGGGAGGCTCAGTGAGTCAGGAGGATGGCTTGAGCCCAGGAGATCGAGGCCGCAGTGAGCCGGGATGGCGCCATTGCACTCCAGCTTGGGTAACAGAGTGAGACCCTGGCTAAAGAAAGAAAGAAAAAGGGCCGGGCGCAGTGGCTCACGCCTGTAATCCCAGCGCCTTGGGAGGCCGAGGCGGGCAGATCACGAGGTCAGGAGATCGAGACCATCCTGGCTAACACAGTGAAACCCCGTCTCTACTAAAAATACAAAAAGTTAGCTGGGCGAGGTGGCGGGCGCCTATAGTCCCAGCTTCTCGGGAGGCTGAGGCAGAATGGCGTGAACCCGGGAGTCGGAGCTTGCAGTGAGCCGAGGTCGCACCACTGCACTCCAGCCTGGGTGACAGAGCGAGACTCCGTCTAAAATAAAATAAGAAAAGAGAGGAAAGAAAGAGAGAGAGAGAGAGAGAAGAGAGAGAAAGAAAGAAAGAAAGAGAGAAAGAAAAAAAAAAAAAAAAAAAAAAAAAAAAAAAAAAAGAAAGAAAGAAAGAAAGAAAGAAAGAATCAGTGAGTCTGTGCCAGGCACTTTGCCAGCTTCCAGCCCTCACGACAACTGTGGGTACAATTAGCTCCATTCCAATTGAAGAAACTGAGGCTCAGAAAGGTTGAGGGCTGCCCATGGTCACAGCAGTTCACCGTGCAACTAAGATGCAAACCCAGTTGCTTCCCGCTCCTCCTCGGTCGCAAGGGGCTTCTCTGCACCTTGTGTGTGTCCCAGGCAGGCGCTCCCTCTCTTGGAGTTGGGTGTGGGGACAAGGGCATGGGCTCCATTTGGCACTGGGGCACCTTCAATCAGCCCCGCCCTGCCCCTCGCAGGTACGCCATTGACCGCGAATCAGATTTGGACCAGATCTTCGATATCGATGCGGACACAGGCGCCATCGTGACTGGCAAGGGGCTGGACCGCGAGACAGCTGGCTGGCACAACATCACGGTGCTGGCCATGGAGGCGGGTGAGCTGGGCGTCGCGCCCCCTCCAAGGGCAAATATGGGGCCGAGGAGCAAAAGCTGAGGGGAGGGGCCAAGGGCTGGGGGCAGAGCCGAGGCGGCACTGTCAGTCAAAGCCCACGGGGGAGGGGCCAAAGGTTGGGGGCGGGGCAAAGAAACTAGACAAAGATCTCACAGGGGTGAAGGTGAGGGCAAAAGCTGATGGGTGAGAGCAAAGATCCAGCGGGGTTCCAAGTCAAGCGGATAGGGCTAGTCTCAAGCTAGGCTTTCTTCTCTCATCATTTATTGAGCACCTGCTACATGCCAAGCCCTGTTTTAGGGGCTGGGGATCCAGCCTTGAACAAGACAGAAAAGGTCCTGTCCTCATAGAGAGAACGAGACTATCAACAAACAGAAAGCACGGACATACTATGTCAAGTGTTGCTAAGTGCTAAGAAGAAACAAGGAAAGAAGGAGGCTGGGAAATGGAACTGGGAGGAGGAGGGGCATTGCTTCTCTTAGGGGAACATCTAAGAGATGAGGAAAAGACATTTCAACAAAGACCTCAAAAGGTGGGAAAGTCATGCTGACATCTGGAGGAAGAACATTCCAAGCAGGGGGAACAGCCAGTGCAAAGGCCCTGCGGTGTAATTTGCCAAGCATGTTGGAGGAACAGCAAAGAGGCCAGTGTGGTTGATGAGGGGCAGCATGGTCAGCCAGAGTCACTGGAGGGTCTTTGGACTTTACTCCAAATGAATTTGGAGTCATTGGAGGCGTTTGGAGAGAGGAGGGATGTTCTCAGTCAGGGTACCTCTGGCAGCTGCATTGAGAAGAGCCTGGAGCCTGAGGGGAAAACGGGGGCTTAGCTAGAAGCCGAAAGCAATAGTGCTTAGGAGATAGCACCATGGCCTGGCCCAGGGCAGTAGCTACAGAAGAGGTGAGAAGGAGGGGAGAAGTGGCTGGCTTTGGGATACGGGCTGAAGATAGAGCCAGTGGGACCTGCTCATGGGCTGATGTCCTGGGGAGAGATGGAGACGTGTCAAGGATGACTTCAGGGTGCTTGCCCTGAGTTTCTGGAAGAGTACGTGTACGTGTGTGTGTGTGTGCGCATGTGTGTGTGTCTGTCTGTCTGTTTGGTGCAGCTAGGGAGAAACGTGAGTTGGGAGAGAAAGAAAAAGAACCCTGAGACATGGCATCCAGGTAAGTAAGGCTGTGGAGGTGAGGAGCTGAGAGCACCGGGAGAGGGGCCAGGGGAAGTGCCTTCAGGCTTCCTCCATGCCCAGAGCAACACTGCCACTGCCGTGGCCTCCACCTGATCTCCCAGCTTCTCTACCCTGTCAGCCCTCAAGGTCTCAGGCATCAACAGAGTCACCAGTAAGCAATCATGACAACAGGAATATGGTTGAGTCTCTGAGCTGCAGGTGGGTAGGCAACATTCAAACTTGCCTCTGCCCATCAGGACCCCAGGCCTCTCTGCCCCAGGCCTCTCCTGCCCCAAGCTCCTCCTGCCAGCCCTCTTCCTCCTCCCCTAGCTGCCATCCCCCCATTTCCCAGGCCCCACTGGCCCATTCTGGGGCCGAGGAAGTCCCTAGGCTGAAGTTCCCTTCGTCTCTTTCAACTGCAGTTTAAAAGGAAATACAAAGCTGGCTCAGACCTCAGTGCCTGCTGCTCTGGAGCCTTTGAATCCACTCCTCCACGGCATGAAAGGGAGATAACAAAGGTGGCTGGAGAGGAAGTGGCGGCTGGACTTGGGGGAAGAGAGCTCCCCCTCCTTGCCTCCTCAAAGCTGCTCCCTGGGTAGCAACTGAGGCTCTGGGCTGCAGACGGAGCCAGGGAGGACTGGCCTGGATGCTGGGCAGGGATGCCTCCTCTCCCTACCCACAGATACACGCCCCCTCACCCCCTGCCACCAGCCTATCACCAGCCCAATGTCCCACCACCAGCAATAGTCTCCTCTTGGGTTAAGCATTGTGTTGCTACCCAGTGGGTCTCTTTCAGAAAGCAGCTAGAATAGCATACAAAGCCTGTAAGGCTGCCATTTCACAGGAGAGAGAATCAGGGGAGGGGTACTCCTCCACAAACATTTTACAATTTTTACTATATATATATATAACCTGGCCTAGATGCTTTCTAGCACATACTTTATTGAATTATGATCTGTAGCATGATTAGCACCCATTTTCCTGATGGGAAAATTGAGGCTTGGAGAGTTAGGAAACTTGCTTGCCAAAGATGTGCACTGGCAAAGCTGGGATTTGGACCAGGAGTGCTTGGTTCCCACAGCATTGCTGCATGGCCTCCCTTTTCTGGGCACTCTCCCCTCTCTGAGCCCCCCCCCTTCCCATCCATCAACCCCAGTAACTGACCGTGGGGAAGGAGATGTATCTCTGAAAAGAGAAGACGAGCCACTGGGCTTGAGACTCCCCTTCTCTGAGCTGCAATCCCCAGCCCCTGCCCACTCCTCACCCAGGATATTAATTAATGGGAAAAGGAATTGTTTTGCTTCAGAGAGCTGGTGGGAGGATCAAACAGCATAGCTCATGGGAAGAACTTAGCCTAGTGGTTGGTGCTTAGTAAGTGCTCAGTTGATGGTATCTGTCAGTCTTGACTCTGTTCCAGGCCCTTTGTTGTGATGAGCTCATGAAATCTTCACCCCTAAGGGGTGTCCATTCTACTGCCATCTTCACTGTGGGGATGAGGAAACTGACTCAGCAAGGCGAAGTCATTTGTCCAGATTCCCAACCCCAGCCTGCCTGACTTCAGAGCTCGGCTCTCCTCAGCTGCCCCTCCAGTCCTGTTTCCCTGGTGCTGGCACAAAATCAAGAGCTCTCACAGGTCAGGCACAGTGGCTAACGCCTGTAATCCCAGTACTTTGGGAGGCCAAGGGGGTCGGATCACTTGAGTTCAAGAGTTCGAGACCAGCCTGGCCAGCATGGCGAAACCCCATGTCTACTAAAAATACAAAAATTAACTGGGCATGGTGGCGCACGCCTATAATCCCAGCTACTGGGGAGGCTGAGGCACTAGAATCACTTGAACCCAAAGGCAGAGGTTGCAGTGAGCTGAGATCATGCCCCTGCGCTCCAGCCTGGGCAACAGAGCAAGACTCTGTCTCAAAAAAAAAAAAAAAAACTATCACAAATAACTGACCCACTCTTCCTTTTCACCATCTCCATGAGATGAGAACAAACTTATTACCCCCATTTTACAGATGAGGAAACAGAGGCTCAGGGAAGAACAGGGATGGCCCCAAGATCACGAGCAAGTCCAGGCAGGGGCAGGCTCAACCCAAGATCTCCCGCCTCCCAGGAGCCAGCCAGAGCCCCAGGTTCATGGCCATCGGGTCTGCCCACCCAGCCCCATGCCCTCCTGCCAAAGCGTCCATTTGGCTTCCTCAAAAACAGAAGAGAAACTCAGAGGGTCACGACGGCCCCACCTGCTCCCAGTCATAACAAACATGAGGTGACAAGAATCAGAGGGGAAATATTTATACACAGCGGCGGCGCTTGGTGAGCACCTCGGAGAATGTTGCACTCAGCCGGGAGCCGCCGCCTGTCATACTGGATTACCTCAAAGACTCCCGAGCCACTTAGTATGCCGGCTCCCCTCTCCCGAACTTCTGAGTCATCCATTCTGCCCATGCAGACGCTCCTTCCACTGACATTATCTTTAACGTTTTGTAATCATGAAATATTAATGACCGATATTGAATTTAAAGTACAATTTGTGTCTGAATCCTTCGGTGGAAAGGGCAGTTGTAAAGGGACAGTCTTCAAAGAGACTGGCTGGGGGGATCTAGGGGAGACTTGGAAAGCCAACACTGGGAGGGGGCAGTACCAAGGGGGGTACCCAGTCACCCTCTCAGGAGTCATCCAGCCCTAAGCTGATCTGGAGGAGTAATAGCTAGATGTCCAGGACAGCAAAGGGTTAACCAGACTCGCCAGAAGCTTCCCCATCTGGGTCACCCCCGGCCAAGTCACGTCTCACAGAACCCTGCTTTTCCCTTCATGCCACAGAGCACGTGTTATGGTTTTTAGATGCATCTGTGTGAGTATTCAGTGAAGATCGCTCTTCCTCAGGAAACGGTACCTTCCATGAGGGCAGGGCCCAGTCTGTACCTGCAGCACTCACACAGGCCAGGCACACAGTAGGCATGTGTGTTTACTGAAGGGATGAATGAACGGGCTTGCGTGCTGGAAGTTGGAAAAACAGGAATGCATGATGGAGAAGAAATGCTTCTAGTCGCATGGCTCCCAGTTGCGTGGGCCTGGACATGCCACTCCCCATCTTGTTACCTTGGTTTTCTCATCTATAAAATGGTGATAATCATACTTACTTTATTGGATGACTGTGACAATGGTAACTATTAGTAATAGCAGCTTCCAGCTGGGCACAGTGATTCACACCTGTAATCCTAGCACTTTGGGAGGCCAAGGCGGGCGGATCACCTGAGGTCAGGAGTTCAAGACCAGCCTGGCCAACATGGTGAAACCCCATCTCTACTAAAAGTACAAAAATTAGCCGGGTGTGGTGGTGGGCACCTGTAATTCCAACTACGTGGGAGCCTGAGGCAGGATAATTGCTTGAACCTGGGAGGTGGAGATTGCAGTGGGCCGAGATTACGCCACTGCACTCCAGCCTAGGAGACAGACCGAGACTCTATCTCAAAAAATAGTTAGTAATAGCAGCTTCTATTTACTTAAAGCTTACAATATGCCAGGCATTATGCTGAGTGCTTTCTGTAAAACATAAATCCCCCAAGGATTAGAAATAATGTGCCTCAAGTGCTTAGCACAGGTTCCTACTGTGTGCCTGACACATAGTAGGTGCTCTATTAAGTCAGAGAGAGAATCTGAGAGGAGAGGGAATGTCAGAGATCATGGGCTCCAGCCCTGTACCCATCCTGTTTTGTACCTGAGGAGACGGAGGCCAAGAAAGGGAGTCCTCCCATGAGGCTTTCTGACTCCCAGTCTGTGCCTCTCAGAAGGACCATAGAGGAGGCCTAAGGAGGCTGGAGGAAGGGGCA